GTTGAAAACCGGTTGTGGACCCTTAGATATTCGACGTTTCGCCGAAACAACCGCTGCTTCGTGGCCTATGGTAAGTAATTTCTAGAAAAATCTCTGGGGGTCCAATTGTCACGCCCTGATAAATTCATCCCGAAATAAAAATCATTTTCTAAAAGGAATAATAGAGTTAATTAAAATTCGAAAAGAAATTGGCAAACACTAAAATACGTACAAGAAAAATTCAAATGTGGCCCGGAGAATTTTTGTTAAATTCTCCTTGTTCTAAAAGGAGCCCTCAAAATTTACTTGAATTTTCAGAGCACCGAAAATATTTATTAAACAACAACAACAATTAACAAAGTTTATTAAAAAGAAAAAGCTAAAAATAAATCCTCCTTCCTCCTTTGGGCCAAGCCCAGCAAAAGTCTCCCTCTCCTCCCTCTCTTTCCCTCCTCTCCCGGGCCTCTCCTCCTCCTCCCGGCCCACTCTTCCCCTCCCCCTCTCGGCCCACTCCCTCCTCCTCCCTCTCCCTCCCGGGCTGCCTCTCCCTCCTCTCCTCCTGGGCCGCCTCGGCTTCGCCCGGCCCAAGCCGAGCCGCGCCTCCCACCCATGCCGCGCACGTGCGCGTGCGTGCGCGCCGTTGCCGCGCGTTGACCGCGCGCCTGCGTGGGGCCCACGCGCCAGGTCGTCGTTCTCCTCCCGCCCGGCCTCCTCCTCTCTCCTCCGTGAACCCTAGCCATTTCCTCCCTCAAATCCGCTTGATTCATTTGGCTAATTCCAAAATTGATTAGGGGGTTTTAATCCCCATTGATTCCTCTTCAATTCCCCCCAATTTCCCCCTTGATTCGTGCCCCCAATCGTCGGGAACAGACGCGTCTTCCCCAGCCGCTTTCCATGGCCGCCGGCCGCCAATTCCGCCACCGTTCCCCGCTCCTCCCGTGCTCGGCTCCCTTCCCTCCGCTATAAAACGGAATCCACTCGCTCCGTTCTATCGTTTTAGCCCCCTCCCGCGATCTCCCGTGGTCCCTAGCCACCTCCCCGCCGTCGTCCCCTCTCCCGTGCCGCCGGCCGTCTTCAGCCGCCCCTGCCGCCGCGTTAGCACGCCGGCCAGCTGTGCCGTCGCCTCCTCCAGCGTCGCAGCCGCCTCCTCTCCGCCGGCCTTCCCTCTGTTTCCCGCGAAGACCTCCGGAAGTGCATCCCCGCCGGCAACAGTGGCGTTGCCACCACTGTTCCGCCTCCGGCCGCCTCTGCCGCGTCCCCTGTGCGCCGGCCGACGTCGCCACCACCTCTCCCGGCACCGGAACGCCATCCTCTTCCCCGGCCAAGCCACGGCATCGCCCGTATTTCGCCGGAACGCCGTTGCGCGCGCCGCCTCTCCCTCGGTCTCGTCGGCACCCACTCCGGCAGCCCCTTTTGCCGTGCCAGTGCGCCGGCCGACGTCGCCGTCTCCACCTCCGGCATCGCAGCGGCAAGGTCGCCCTCGGCCTCGTCTCCCCTTCGACCGAACCCCTCCGCGGTCCATCCTCGTCATCTCTATTCGTTCTCGTCGTCGACGTCCCGTCGGTCGCCCGGCTCGTCGTCTCGCGGCGCCGCCTCCGTCGTCGGCATCGCAGTGGCGTGTTCCACGCCATCCTCGTCTTCGTGCAGCCGCTGTAGGCTGCCCACGTCGCCTCCTCGCCGGCCCCGGTCGTCGTCGTCGTCGCCCTCTCGTCGTTCCCGGTTGTCGTGGCGTTCGTCCCTCCGTCAAGCCATTCTCGTTCGTCGTCCTCGCTTCGTCAAGTGCCGCAGCCCCATCATCGTCTTCGTCCTCGCCTCCGCGTCGTCAAGCCTCGTGCCGGCCGTGTCTCGCCTTCGTTCAAGGATCGCCGCTGAAGTCGTTCCCTTGCCATCCGTCTCCGCCGCGCCCGTTCGTCGTTGTCTTTCCCACGCCTCGTCGCGTGGTGGTAAGGATCTCTCCTCTCGCTGCCCCGTCCTCGTCCTTTCGGTGTCGCCCCGTACCCGTTGTGCGGTTGTCGACCCCGGTACCCGTGTACCGGTGTCGGTAGTCGTTCACGTGTGCGGGTGGTGACCGTGTAGTGTCCGTGTTAGTGTGTCCGCTCAGTAGCCGCGTGGTTTCCACGTGTGCAGCCCGTGTGGTGTCTAGTGGAGTCCGTTTGTCGGCCACTCGCCTCGGTTGACACACGGGGTCCGCTTCCGTCGACCCGTGGACCGTCTCCGTGTACTCGGTCTACCGCGGTCCTTTAGGTTGACATGTGGGGTCCGCATGTCAACAGCGCAGCCTTCCTGTCTTTTCCAGGCTAGCGCTTCCACATGTTTTATAGTTGCAAAGCTTAATTATAATAATCCGCAAATCTCCATATAACAGCATTAAACTTCGGATGATCATATCTTGGTCATACGAGCTCCGAATCGACCTGTTCAAGTCTCTTAATGTTTGTTATAACCTAAAGAACCGTGTGCTTTCTTTTTATATATTGTTATTGCTTCTTTATAGGCTTGTAGCTTTGCTTGTGTGCTTCGCGTAGCTTCTGTCGTTCCGGAGGTTCCCGAAGCGTGGTTCGCGGCCGTCGCCGAAGGTTCGGAAGGCCGTTCTCTCTGAGCAAGGCAAGTCACATCATCCTTGAACATATTGAATCCCAGTTTATAAAATTATTCTGATTTAAATTATTGCATTATCGCTTTATTTAAATCCCCGCGTTATCACTGTTTTATCTAGCCATGCCTATTTACCTTTGTTATGACCTTATTATTGTTGTTATTGTTATTATTACCTTGTTCACCCTAGGATAAACAAAACCCCAACTAGTGGGTACTCTATTCATGGTTCCACTAGTATGAATTTAGGTAGATGCTTCGCTGATTAATTAGGCAATATTAGGTGGTTTTATAACTTTAGACTTTGGGAATTCTCATATCATTTGGACACTATAGAATAGTTGGCTTATGTTGGAATTGGACACACACCTCCCCCTCTATTCAAAACCCCCAAAATGGTTTTAGGCTGGGCTCGAGGTGCGTGGTTGGGTTTGGTTAGTCGTACCTCGGGTACTATAAGGATTAAGCTCGGGCCTCTGTTGCAAAGCACTACCGTACTTCCATATGTCTAGTGGGTAAGGCTTAGTTTGTGGCTCAGTCTGGTTATAAACAAAAGTACACGGATGGAGATGGACGAAGTCGGGGGTCGATGGACATCTCTAGGACAAATGAAGGCTACATGAGCTGTGGCTCGGTAGTCGAGATGTCATGGCACAGGGCTGGTGTCCTGCTGCTAGGGGCTCAATCCTGCCTGCCTGTCCCGGGGGTTCCGGCCGTAGGTGGGGTTGGGTCGGTACTCTTGTTTATGGCTAGGATGGGTTGGGAACTATGTCACGTCTTCCGTCCGTATACCGTGGTGGTATGTGGCACGTGGTTACACGTGAGGAAGATGTGTCTTTTGGGTAAAGATGTACACCTCTGATCAGAGTATAATCTATTCGAATAGCCGCGCCCTCGGTTATGGGCAAGCCTAGCAATGTACCCAAGTTAGTGTTTTAGTTCTTAAAATTTGCTTAACAACTAAAATGTGGAATGGTTGGCCTGGGTTGGCTTGGGACGAGCTGGGACCCAGGGTCGGGTTGCCAGTTCGGTCTGAATCATCGTAGGCCTTGGGTTAAGGCAGGTTCGTGAGGGTTCACGGCCTTGATTAATAACACTGTGTAACTCTAGGATCGTCTTTATAAAATGGCTTTGGGCAACTAAGTGACTTTTAAATGCTGTTTTCTACAAAACTTAACCCCTATATTATTACCCCTTGTACCCCCTTGCATTAATCATGCATCCACCGGTGTGGCTTGCTGAGTACTGTGGTTGTACTCATTCTTGCTCAATCTTTCCCCCCCCCCTTCAGTAAGAGAAGCTTTGGAGAAGAAGTCTTAGGTGGAGTCCTGGCTTATACCCCAGTTGAGCGCCTGTGAAGATGGAGCCGTATGCCCGCTAGTCCGCTGCTGTTTATTTTTGATTGTCAGGCCTTAAGTGCCTTTGTAATAATGTAAATATTATCGATATAATAAAGATGTGCCTTTTGTATCATGTTTGTGTGGTGTACCCCGGCTTTTCCTGGGACGGGGATTAATACACTAGCGTTCGGGAAAATGTATTTTTCTCGGTCGCGACACCAACTCTCCAAATCCAATCTCTTTAGGGTGAGGCCCGTGATTCTGCAGCCGTCAAAAAAAACCTAGCTCGATTCCATGACCGGAAGGCAAAGTTATCAAGGTTTTAATTTGCACAGAATTCTCCATCTGCATTCCATAGTGTCGCGCCCGCCAGCCTACCTTAACGGCGCGGTTAGTCGACACGCTTGACACCGACATCATCTAAGCTATCCACCCTAACGTCCTATGTGCCATCCCAATACTAACCACCTCGTTGAAAACCAGTTGTGGACCCTCAGATATTCGACGTTTCGCCGAAACAACCGCTGCTTCGTGGCCTATGGTAAGTAATTTCTAGAAAAATCTCTGGGGGTCCAACTCTCCAAATCCGGTCTCTCTTCGGTGAGGCCCGTGATTCTGAAGCCATCAAAAAAAACCTAGCTCGATTCCATGACCGGAAGGCAAAGTTATCATGGTTTTAATTTGCACATAATTCTCCATCTGCATTCCACAGTGTCGCGCCCGCCAGCCTAACTTAACGGCGCGGTTAGTCGACGCGCTTGACACCGACATTGTCTAAGCTATCCACCCTAACGTCCTATGTGCCATCCCTATACTAACCACCTCGTTGAAAACCAGTTGTGGACCCTCAGATATTCGACGTTTCGCCGAAACAACCGCTGCTTCGTGGCCTATGGTATGTAATTTCTAGAAAAATCTCTGGGGGTCCAACTCTCCAAATCCAGTGTCTCTAGGGTGAGGCCCGTGATTATGCAGCCGTCAAAAGAAACCTAGCTCGATTCCATGACCGGAAGGCAAAGTTATCAAGGTTTTAATTTGCACAGAATTCTCCATCTGCATTCCAGTGTCGCGCCCGCCAGCCTACCTTAACGGCACGGTTAGTCGACGCGTTTGACACCGACATCGTCTAAGCTATCCACCCTAACGTCCTATGTTCCATCCCTGTACTAACCACCTCGTTGAAAACCAGTTGTGGACCCTCATATATTCACATCATTCACTCAGGTTTACATCTCAACGTTTTTTTTGCAACTAATGTGGCATCTGAAAATTGAGTTTCTTTGCATCTAAATTTTAGAGTAGTTTAGAAATTTATATTGTATCCTCTCTGTTTTATTTACAAAAATGAGTAGTTTTTGGTTTTTAGAGCAGAAATCTAGCTGCAATGTTCACAAAAATGTAAAGAGAGATTAAAGGGGAACACAACCAACTTCCGGGATCCGCAACAGCACGCGCGTTGCGATGATTGTGCCTGCAGTCAGGTCCCTAATCCGCCGACCTTAGCTATGTGATTCATTTTTGTGTTGCTGTCATCAGTGTTTCACTTGTTCTGTAGGCCGCTCGCGAAGTACACACTGGAGTTGTGTGTGTCTACGCCGCCGCCGGTGGCCGCTGCGGCCATGAAGGAGTGTGTGCTTGATGAGTACGCCACCAAGCACAGGATCTCCATCGATAGGTTTCTCCAGCTTAGGATATTTGTCAAGGTGCATGATCGGTAAGGCCTCATCCATCTCCACTAGACGTTGAGCTTCAAGTGCGAGCAGACTTGCCACTTTCCTGTATTAGATCAGTAGCCGATGAATATGATAATTTCAACTAAGAAAGTTCGATTGCCGATCTTTATTTATGTCTTTGGCACAATGGGGGACATCCTGATCTATCATCATAAATGCTAACTCACTGAAATTTTGGCACAGCTACTTAGTGACAGCAAATTTGATCTTAATGCAATATGTCACCCAAATAATCTTCCAAAGGTTACCTTGTTCACTAATTGGGAGATGATTTACTGTATCTTTTTCAATGGAATAGATGATTTATTGTATCATAATAACATCTAATGGTTATTTGCACTCTCTCAGGGCTTAAAGTCACTGCATACGTGAGGTGCTCGAGCAGTAGGAATCTGCATCTACCATGGATGATGTTGCTACATAAACAAAACAATATAATTGCTGGTATTATTTTCAACTTTTGGTCCTTTTGACTCTATTAAATTCTTTATCCATTACTGTTTCTCGATAGTTTGTTGTGAATGTTGCCTGCACATTCAAATGATATGTGGGATTAGTTTCCAGTCACTGAAGTGCAAACCTTAGCTAGATCTCTTCTGATGCAGAAATCTCACTTTTTGTCTGGGTGAATTCTACACATTTCAGACCAGAAAAATCTTGGTACAAGTCTTAATACAAGCCATTTAGTTATCAGCATATATATTCACTGTGTGGTAGCTATACTCTAAAAAATATTCAAAGAAAGTAGGGGTGCAGTGGTTATGCCGCTGTTTAATAATCTGCTGAAGGAAATAGCAACATTGCAAAGAGGTGCAAACGGTGCTACTTGATGCTGAAACCTGAGTACCAGTCATTTTAATTGTAGCTGTTTGCAGCAAAGTTTTCGCTAAATGTAGTGCATAAACTTAATTTATTTTTGCCGCTTGAAACTTATATATACACAGGCAACTGTTTTTTTTTTTCATTTCCAAAGGCTTCCATCCGTATTAACCTTGTTTTTTTATTAAAGTATTAAATTTTTGGTTAGCAGTATTTTGTTATGTGTTTTAGATTTAATGCTTCTAGAATATTTCTCTATATGTATTCATGTTCTATGAAAATGCTATCTTTTGGTGTTCCATGCAAAGAGGTATATATGTGAACTGAATGTTGCGGTTATTTAAATATTCACAATTTGCACACTCATGATCTATTTCAGAAACTTAAAACCAAGTACCCAATAGTTTTGACAAATGAACACTATTTTGTTTGCACAGAATAAAAAATGTGATGATGCTGTTGGGTTGTTATTAAATTGACTAATTGTTTTAGCCCTTGGTCCCATCCAAAAAAACTGGCTTTGCAAGCCAACACATTCAGTGGTTAACGAGTAGCATATTTTTATATATAATGATATTACTAAATGTTTGAGAGTTTTACTTTCATATATGTGCCTTACTTATTTATATATTTCAGGAGTCTTCTTAAGGATTAGATTATTGTCGTTGAAAAACCATCCACTATAGCTGCTACCTCTACTCACTTTGGCACACCATCTAAAAATGCAGAGAAGCAGGTTAATTTATAGTGGGTGAGCTTAATCCACTGTAGAAAGCAGAATATGAATGCAACAGGCTGCCTGCTATGATTGATGCTCATTTATTCAGAGATTATCATTTAGCATTCTGGTACTTGATGAGAAGTTATAGGTATCCTTCTACTTTTTTTAGTGAGGCGATCTAATTTGAATTTTCTCATTCAATTTGAGGTTTGTGACCTGATTTAAGCCCAACTTTTTTCTCTTTCAATTCTCATCATGTATGCCTGCCTGGCATGTGGTTGGCAATGTAAGAAAATGTTGGATGTGGTTCATGTGGCATGCAACAGGCCTTGGCCTAAGTGATGTCTAGCAGGCAGAGCAGATAAGATTGGTTCAGAGATGTTATTTTTCTTCCACCATCCTTTAATTTTCTTCTATTTCTTTCTTGAAGTGGATAGAACCAATTACTTCATATTATAGGTTTATCTTGCATTGCCCTCTCCATTCAGTTATCTTTAATTCAGTTGTGTTTCGAGGCGTGCTACAGCTCCTGCCTTGTGGGTTTAATTAGGAATGGAAATTTCTTACTGATGCAGGTTTGGTCTCTTCTGTGCATGGGGTCAACCCCAGGATGGTGATCTGCATCTATGGCTTCCCCACCAATGTCGCTGCCATCTAGGTACGAATCAATTCAGTCCAATCATCTCCTCTAGCATCTGTTCTTGATATAGGAAAAAAAAGTATTTTTTTGGTAGATCATGTTATGTGATAGTCGTCCATGACCTGTTCTACTTCCTTCCTCAGCATTTACTGTTGTAGGTTTCCACATTCACTAGGTTTCCATACTCTTAACACGCAAGAAGTAGAGCCCAAGGTTTCTTATATATTTTGCCTGTTCTACAAGAGGATTGAGATGTTTAGTGTAATCCTTTGTGACTCATGGACAAAACCATGTAGGTCCTTGTTGATATATATGGTGATCCAGAACTCCTTGTTGCATATGGTATTGTTTTTTCTTTTCCTTTGTGCACACTTAGTTTGTGAGGCAGTTGATTTTGACCTTCCTTTCCATAGAAAAAATATTTCCTTTTATGTTGTTTTAAATTCCATGTGCTAACTCAGATTTATTGTGATTAGTTGTTGTTGTGCTAATCTTCAAATGTTTAGTATATTTTGTGCATTTTGATGCTCTATTGCTCTGCAAACCATGGCTTTTGAATGCACTATTTTGGTTGGACAGGTAAATGTGTTGTAGGACTATTTTAGCTAGGATTCATAAACTTTGCACTACACATCGCTGCTGGTTTTTGTCCTAAATAGGGACAGTTATTTAGGACATAATTTGAAGATTGAATTTTTCTGCTATTTGAATCACAATTGAGTTGCTGGTGATAAATGTTATCCAAGGCTTGAGTGCTCGACACTATTTATTATTTCATTCTTTTTCTGATATTCCTCTAGCAATTTGCATTAAAAAGTTTCTGATATTTCTCAAAATGTACATAAAATAATCTTTAGTCAAATCATGAATTCGTTGACGTGTGATTGGTTATATTGTACGAAACAATGCTCTCTAGCAGTCATGCAAGGTGTTCAATACATGTGTCTTGGATATTGAAACTAGATTCCATGGTTTACATCTCAATTTTTTTGCCGCACCACATGAGTTAACCTCTTTGCAGCTTGCTGCATATAATTTACTTGCCACGATTAATTACCCATACAGCTTACCACGAACTAGGGGAATAACCTCATTATGGAAAATCAAGACAACTTTCTTAATGTTGTATCTTGATGTGCATTCTTTTGAATCTAGGCTTATTTTTATGCAGTTAAATTTATGATTTATACTCCTCCAAGTTCCATCAGCCCGCTTTGTATAATATTATGCTTTAGATGGGATTAGAGGCCTTTCAAAGGCAGAAAGAGAAATTATGCTCCTCCAGTTGGCCTAGGCTTCAACTCTGGGTTTTTATTTCTATTGCTGGTCATTCATACACAAGATTTCATGAGCCCACAGTTCACCTTTTGGTCCTACCTCATTTATCAGCATAGGCGATAGTAGTTGATGATTATATACCATTTCCCAGACTATTCCGAAAGAGCCTAATGTTGGGGATATTTCAAGGATGCTAATTGTTGTAATGGGTGCAAGCCATGTTATTAATGGGTCATGAGGAATTAGTCTCTGACCAAAGTATCTAAAAAATGCTAAGAAAGACCAATTTGTGGTGCTACTTGATCCCAAGAAACAAGGTGTACAGGAAGGGAATGTGAAATCGGTTTCTCACTTTTTATGGTAGTCAGTATCTAAATCTTACAGTAGAAACCACCTTGACCGTGCTGAAATGGCATGAGTTATTGAGGCTGCTGGTAGAACACTTGAAACTTTGCCTCATTTTTGCTGCTTGATCTTCATTTCAGCCAATTGCAAGGCAGAGTCACCAGATCTGAAGGCAGAATGGGCTTGGATTGTGGAGACAGGTAAATCGACGACGAGGTGATGCAGAGGACGGAGATCTAACCCGATTGAAAGCCGGATCGACTGACTCGTCGCCGACGGACGGAGTCGGCCTCTCACCATCGAGCTTGAGCTCAGAGGAACCAGCGGCAAGAGGAGAGAGAGGTAATGGAGGACGGGCAGCGGGGTGCGGCGGTGTCAGGGCGAGGATTGGCGCCGGAGAATGGAGCGGCGGCGCAGGGCGTCGATGGGGCGGAGAGGGGAAGGAAAGCAATGATTCTAGGGTTTCAGGGGAAGGGGTATAGGTATATATTGGTTTTCAGAAAAGCCCTTTGATGCTCGTTTTTCAGAGTGCGGTCCTATTTTTAGATTTCTCTCTTCTTTATGTAAGATTTTCTTGGTTATGGAGGTCTTATACGTAAAAGACCACAACGTCGCACCGTATGACTTGGGATCTAAAACACATTATCAATGCAACGGAGGGGTTTTTTGAAAAATTACCACCGCACTCGCGACGATGATCGATCTCAGCCGTCGCTGCGACGAATCGGACGGCTGGGAGCTGCACGGCGCGGACGCACGAGGGGGCGCGAATTCCGCCCGCCTCCCAGCGCTCGCGGGCGACGTGAATGCCTCCGTGTGCGAACACGCCGCTCCGAATCGCTCTCAGCTCGCCAATTCCCAGTAGGTTTTAATATAACCGACTAAAGGTTGGAGCGTGCCGCCTGTACGCATCTAGTTAGAAAGGAGTGCTGGAAGTCAGGGAAGCCCCGACGCGCCGCCTGCATATAGTTCATTTGATTTTGTGGCTGTATATACTCCCGAGGAGCACCATAGCAAAAGAAACCGATGTCTTAAGAAACATCCAGGTACACTTAGAAAAATCTGCTTCAAGTTTTCAGAATTCAATGTTAACATTAAACACCTTTTTTAAGTAAGCACATTAACCATAATTACTTCAAGCTATTATGCCTCCATGGCTCTACTCTTGTTCCTACAAGCTATGCAAAAACCTGAGGGACAACTGCTCAAGACAATTATATAAAAAGATAAGGCAGCCAGGAGTCTTGCTGAAGTATCATAGCTAAAGCAAATCAAAAATATGTTTTGATATTTCATCCCAAGAAGAACACCATCCTGAATAATAAGAAATGCATGCACTGTCAGAACAGTTCCATTAAATAAAGAGAGAATTGAGACAGATTTGTGAATAAAACAACCAAACAGGCATACATAAATAACGGCTAGTAATCTAACAAATAGTAATTTAGTTCAGCACAGGATTAATTATGAGCATTTCATTATGCTAACTAAATTGGAAAATAGAGAGTGCCACCATATATGATTGTGGCAAACAGTGTTTTATGAATTTAATTAGTTAATCCTACTAACACTTTATGTAAGAAAAAGCGCAAACGGCTAGCCAAATATAAAATAAAAAAAATTAAATCTTTGCTATGTAACAAAACACCTGACAAAACTGTCATCCTAAACGCAAAGTGGCATGTGTATATACATATTTGTCTTTATTAATATAATATGTCACTAATGCAGTTTAGTGTGGCCTTGTGTCACAAGGTTTGCTAAGCTTGGAAAAAAAAAGGAAGTTGAAGAAAACAATTATACCATGGAAGTGACAAAACAGACCATGTAATTATATCCAATACTGACCAAGCCTAGACCTATGTTCAAGAATACACAACTATGTGCAGAAATATGCGTCTGTCTGGCACTTTGTAATCTCACAAAAAAAGGAGAGAAATAGGTACCTACAGTTGCACTTCCAAGGAAAGCCTTTCATCAGACACCCACACCAGAATAATAGGAACATTTTGCGTTATTATGGAAAGCATGTTTTACTTGTAAATCTTCAATTGCTTCTATGGATATCTGCAGTATGCAAAACCATGAGCAAAAGAACTTGTCTGAAAAGTGTGTTTATCAATGTAGAAGAACAAGAGAGCCATATATAATAAAAAGAAGAGAATTTGGGGTCTGCCCAGCAATCTTTTGCACAACCGCTAAGAAATTTGGTTTATTGAAATGAAGTGTATGTATATTCTGCCTCAAAATTATAGGATAACTATGTTTAAAACAGAATTATTCATAAGACTAAGAATTGATAAGCACTAAGAAGGGAAAAAAAAGAATATTTTCTTACCTGGAAACTGTGAAGCACTAAGGGCATGTACAATGGTTGTCAATAGTGGTCTCTTAGTGATGTTAATTTGGAATACTTGTTGACATGGAAGAAAGAGAAAGAGGAGAGACAAAATATCGTTGTCATGCATAACAACAGCTTAACAACGACTCTTAATCAATATAAAATGGAAATATGGTTGCATGAGGGTAAAAAAATGGAAAGAATATTAACAAAAGGAATATTTTTTGAGTTAATGATTAGAGACTTTGTCGTCTCTACTATTGTAAAGATACGGTCTCTAAATAATCTTGTATTGCTTAAGAGACCATACTCGTCTCTACCATTAAACATGCCCTAACAGGGCATTTCTCAAGGTAAAAAAAACATCTGTAGCATCTAAGGAGAGACTACACCAAGATCTATTCCCTTCTGAAGATCTTGGAATATCTGAGAACATGAGTTCCATTAGCCAAACGTCTACCAAGAAATACCACTTACTAAACTATAGAAACATCTTGGCCACGGAAGAGAGCTCAGCTCTAGGCACATGACAATTTTTACAAACAAGAAAATTTTTGCCTACATGGAAAAGAGTTTATTGCACTCAGCATATTTACTAATGATCATATTTCATTAGCCACCCTATGTCGCAGTCAGGGTTCAGAGAATGCTAAAAGCTTAGCTCTTATTGTGTCATGTGTACAGGCTCAGTGATCCATTTCTAGAAGTAATTGGCTTGAAAAGCAAAATAGCACAAGTACAAATCAATACAAAATAGTCACGTAATCTGAAGGCCTCTTGCCAAATCATGGCTAGTAATGTTCATTCAACATTTTTCTCTCCCAAAGATAGTAAGGTAGCAATATCTAAAAGAGCTTGTCCATGGCCACTTTCTTAAATAAATGATTTTACAAATGCTGCTCAAAACATGAATCGCAACATGAAGCTAAATAGCTAACAAGCAATTGGCTGAAATGAAGATCAAGCAGCAAAAATGAGGCAAAGTTTCAAGTGTTCTACCAGCAGCCTCAATAACTCATGCCATTTCAGCACGGTCAAGGTGGTTTCTACTGTAAGATTTAGATACTGACTACCATAAAAAGTGAGAAACCGATTTCACATTCCCTTCCTGTACACCTTGTTTCTTGGGATCAAGTAGCACCACAAATTGGTCTTTCTTAGCATTTTTTAGATACTTTGGTCAGAGACTAATTCCTCATGACCCATTAATAACATGGCTTGCACCCATTACAACAATTAGCATCCTTGAAATATCCCCAACATTAGGCTCTTTCGGAATAGTCTGGGAAATGGTATATAATCATCAACTACTATCGCCTATGCTGATAAATGAGGTAGGACCAAAAGGTGAACTGTGGGCTCATGAAATCTTGTGTATGAATGACCAGCAATAGAAATAAAAACCCAGAGTTGAAGCCTAGGCCAACTGGAGGAGCATAATTTCTCTTTCTGCCTTTGAAAGGCCTCTAATCCCATCTAAAGCATAATATTATACAAAGCGGGCTGATGGAACTTGGAGGAGTATAAATCATAAATTTAACTGCATAAAAATAAGCCTAGATTCAAAAGAATGCACATCAAGATACAACATTAAGAAAGTTGTCTTGATTTTCCATAATGAGGTTATTCCCCTAGTTCGTGGTAAGCTGTATGGGTAATTAATCGTGGCAAGTAAATTATATGCAGCAAGCTGCAAAGAGGTTAACTCATGTGGTGCGGCAAAAAAATTGAGATGTAAACCATGGAATCTAGTTTCAATATCCAAGACACATGTATTGAACACCTTGCATGACTGCTAGAGAGCATTGTTTCGTACAATATAACCAATCACACGTCAACGAATTCATGATTTGACTAAAGATTATTTTATGTACATTTTGAGAAATATCAGAAACTTTTTAATGCAAATTGCTAGAGGAATATCAGAAAAAGAATGAAATAATAAATAGTGTCGAGCACTCAAGCCTTGGATAACATTTATCACCAGCAACTCAATTGTGATTCAAATAGCAGAAAAATTCAATCTTCAAATTATGTCCTAAATAACTGTCCCTATTTAGGACAAAAACCAGCAGCGATGTGTAGTGCAAAGTTTATGAATCCTAGCTAAAATAGTCCTACAACACATTTACCTGTCCAACCAAAATAGTGCATTCAAAAGCCATGGTTTGCAGAGCAATAGAGCATCAAAATGCACAAAATATACTAAACATTTGAAGATTAGCACAACAACAACTAATCACAATAAATCTGAGTTAGCACATGGAATTTAAAACAACATAAAAGGAAATATTTTTTCTATGGAAAGGAAGGTCAAAATCAACTGCCTCACAAACTAAGTGTGCACAAAGGAAAAGAAAAAACAATACCATATGCAACAAGGAGTTCTGGATCACCATATATATCAACAAGGACCTACATGGTTTTGTCCATGAGTCACAAAGGATTACACTAAACATCTCAATCCTCTTGTAGAACAGGCAAAATATATAAGAAACCTTGGGCTCTACTTCTTGCGTGTTAAGAGTATGGAAACCTAGTGAATGTGGAAACCTACAACAGTAAATGCTGAGGAAGGAAGTAGAACAGGTCATGGACGACTATCACATAACATGATCTACCAAAAAAATACTTTTTTTTCCTATATCAAGAACAGATGCTAGAGGAGATGATTGGACTGAATTGATTCGTACCTAGATGGCAGCGACATTGGTGGGGAAGCCATAGATGCAGATCACCATCCTGGGGTTGACCCCATGCACAGAAGAGACCAAACCTGCATCAGTAAGAAATTTCCATTCCTAATTAAACCCACAAGGCAGGAGCTGTAGCACGCCTCGAAACACAACTGAATTAAAGATAACTGAATGGAGAGGGCAATGCAAGATAAACCTATAATATGAAGTAATTGGTTCTATCCACTTCAAGAAAGAAATAGAAGAAAATTAAAGGATGGTGGAAGAAAAATAACATCTCTGAACCAATCTTATCTGCTCTGCCTGCTAGACATCACTTAGGCCAAGGCCTGTTGCATGCCACATGAACCACATCCAACATTTTCTTACATTGCCAACCACATGCCAGGCAGGCATACATGATGAGAATTGAAAGAGAAAAAAGTTGGGCTTAAATCAGGTCACAAACCTCAAATTGAATGAGAAAATTCAAATTAGATCGCCTCACTAAAAAAAGTAGAAGGATACCTATAACTTCTCATCAAGTACCAGAATGCTAAATGATAATCTCTGAATAAATGAGCATCAATCATAGCAGGCAGCCTGTTGCATTCATATTCTGCTTTCTACAGTGGATTAAGCTCACCCACTATAAATTAACCTGCTTCTCTGCATTTTTAGATGGTGTGCCAAAGTGAGTAGAGGTAGCAGCTATAGTGGATGGTTTTTCAACGACAATAATCTAATCCTTAAGAAGACTCCTGAAATATATAAATAAGTAAGGCACATATATGAAAGTAAAACTCTCAAACATTTAGTAATATCATTATATATAAAAATATGCTACTCGTTAACCACTGAATGTGTTGGCTTGCAAAGCCAGTTTTTTTGGATGGGACCAAGGGCTAAAACAATTAGTCAATTTAATAACAACCCAACAGCATCATCACATTTTTTATTCTGTGCAAACAAAATAGTGTTCATTTGTCAAAACTATTGGGTACTTGGTTTTAAGTTTCTGAAATAGATCATGAGTGTGCAAATTGTGAATATTTAAATAACCGCAACATTCAGTTCACATATATACCTCTTTGCATGGAACACCAAAAGATAGCATTTTCATAGAACATGAATACATATAGAGAAATATTCTAGAAGCATTAAATCTAAAACACATAACAAAATACTGCTAACCAAAAATTTAATACTTTAATAAAAAAACAAGGTTAATACGGATGGAAGCCTTTGGAAATGAAAAAAAAAAACAGTTGCCTGTGTATATATAAGTTTCAAGCGGCAAAAATAAATTAAGTTTATGCACTACATTTAGCGAAAACTTTGCTGCAAACAGCTACAATTAAAATGACTGGTACTCAGGTTTCAGCATCAAGTAGCACCGTTTGCACCTCTTTGCAATGTTGCTATTTCCTTCAGCAGATTATTAAACAGCGGCATAACCACTGCACCCCTACTTTCTTTGAATATTTTTTAGAGTATAGCTACCACACAGTGAATATATATGCTGATAACTAAATGGCTTGTATTAAGACTTGTACCAAGATTTTTCTGGTCTGAAATGTGTAGAATTCACCCAGACAAAAAGTGAGATTTCTGCATCAGAAGAGATCTAGCTAAGGTTTGCACTTCAGTGACTGGAAACTAATCCCACATATCATTTGAATGTGCAGGCAACATTCACAACAAACTATCGAGAAACAGTAATGGATAAAGAATTTAATAGAGTCAAAAGGACCAAAAGTTGAAAATAATACCAGCAATTATATTGTTTTGTTTATGTAGCAACATCATCCATGGTAGATGCAGATTCCTACTGCTCGAGCACCTCACGTATGCAGTGACTTTAAGCCCTGAGAGAGTGCAAATAACCATTAGATGTTATTATGATACAATAAATCATCTATTCCATTGAAAAAGATACAGTAAATCATCTCCCAATTAGTGAACAAGGTAACCTTTGGAAGATTATTTGGGTGACATATTGCATTAAGATCAAATTTGCTGTCACTAAGTAGCTGTGCCAAAATTTCAGTGAGTTAGCATTTATGATGATAGATCAGGATGTCCCCCATTGTGCCAAAGACATAAATAAAGATCGGCAATCGAACTTTCTTAGTTGAAATTATCATATTCATCGGCTACTGATCTAATACAGGAAAGTGGCAAGTCTGCTCGCACTTGAAGCTCAACGTCTAGTGGAGATGGATGAGGCCTTACCGATCATGCACCTTGACAAATATCCTAAGCTGGAGAAACCTATCGATGGAGATCCTGTGCTTGGTGGCGTACTCATCAAGCACACACTCCTTCATGGCCGCAGCGGCCACCGGCGGCGGCGTAGACACACACAACTCCAGTGTGTACTTCGCGAGCGGCCTACAGAACAAGTGAAACACTGATGACAGCAACACAAAAATGAATCACATAGCTAAGGTCGGCGGATTAGGGACCTGACTGCAGGCACAATCATCGCAACGCGCGTGCTGTTGCGGATCCCGGAAGTTGGTTGTGTTCCCCTTTAATCTCTCTTTACATTTTTGTGAACATTGCAGCTAGATTTCTGCTCTAAAAACCAAAAACTACTCATTTTTGTAAATAAAACAGAGAGGATACAATATAAATTTCTAAACTACTCTAAAATTTAGATGCAAAGAAACTCAATTTTCAGATGCCACATTAGTTGCAAAAAAAACGTTGAGATGTAAACCTGAGTGAATGATGTGCATATCGGGAGCAGGCACAGCGGTCACGGTACTACGAACTGTGCAGCAAACCGACGTTGCTCCGGCTGGATACATGAGCAGATTACAGCACCCAGAGCAGACGAGCTGGCTTTGGGCCCCTGAAATTGCACAATCATGGCTCTTCAGAGTTCAGAGACTGACTGAATGTCACATTTCAGCAGCTAGCATTTTCATTTTCAGAGGACAAAAGCATTCTCCATGCATTATTTTCATTTCAGACAACAGAACACAGTAGTAAAAAAAACTTCCATTTTCTCAACAGGGAGTTCTCTCTAAACTTTCAGGATTTCTATGAGCACAATAAACTGCAACCTCTGAACCAGGAAGAGTAACATCTTATTCAAGAAAAACCACCCTAACTTAACACAGAATTCCACAGTGTCGCGCCCGCCAGCCTAACTTAACAGCGCGGTTAGTCGACGCGCTTGACACCGACATCGTCTAAGCTATCCACCCTAACGTCCTATGTGCCATTCCTATACTAACCACCTCGTTGAAAACCAGTTGTGGACCCTCAGATATTCGACGTTTCGCCGAAACAACCGCTGCTTCGTGGCCTACGGTAAGTAATTTCTAGAAAAATCTCTGGGGGTCCAACTCTCCAAATCCAGTCTCTCTTCTGTGAGGCCCGTGGTTCTGAAGCTGTCAAAAAAAACCTAGCTCGATTCCATGACCGGAAGGCAAAATTATCAAGGTTTTAATTTGCACAGAATTCTCCATCTGCATTCCACACTGTCGCGCCCGCCAGCCTACCTTAACGGCGCGGTTAGTCGACGCGCTTGACACCGACATCGTCTATGCTATCCACCCTAACGTCCTATGTGCCATCTATATACTAACCACCTCGTTGAATACCCGTTGTGGACCCTCAGATATTCGACGTTTCGCCGAATAAACCGCTGCTTCGTGGCCTATGGTAAGTAATTTCTAGAAAAATCTTTGGGGGTCCAACTCTCCAAATCCAGTCTCTCTTCGGTGAGGCCTGTGATTCTGAAGCCGTCAAAAAAAACCTAGCTCGATTCCATGACCAGAAGGCAAAATTATCAAGGTTTTAATTTGCACAGAATTCTCCATCTGCATTCCACACTGTCGCGCCCGCCAGCCTAACTTAACGGCACGGTTAGTCGACGCGGTTGACACCCACATCGTCTAAGCTATCCACCCTAACGTCCTATGTGCCATCCCTATACTAACCACCTCGTTGAAAACCAGTTGTGGACCCTCAGATATTCGACGTTTCCTCGAAACAACCGCTGCTTCGTGGCCTATGGTAAGTAATTTCTAGAGAAATCTCTGGGGGTCCAACTCTCCAAATCCTGTCTCTCTTTGGTGAGGCCCGTGATTCTGAAGCCGTCAAAAAAAACCTAGCTCGATTCCATGACCGGAAGGCAAAGTTATCAAGGTTTTAATTTGCACAGAATTCTCCATATGCATTCCACCGTGTCGCGCCCGCCAGCCTAACTTAACGGCGCGGTTAGTCGACGCGCTTGACACCGACATCGTCTAAGCTATCCACCCTAACGTCCTATGTGCCATCCCTATACTAACCACCTCGTTGAAAACCAGTTGTGGACCCTCAGATTTTTGACGTTTCACCGAAACAACCGCTGCTTCATGGCCTATGGTAAGTAATTTCTAGAAAAATCTCTGGGGGTCCAACTCTCCAAATCCATTCTCTCTTCGGTGAGGCCTGTGATTCTGCAGCCATCAAAAAAAACCTAGCTCGATTCCATGACCGAAAGGCAAAGTTATCAATGTTTTAATTTGCACAGAATTCTCCATCTGCATTCCACAGTGTCGCGCCCGCCAGCCTAACTTAACGGCGCGGTTAGTCGACGCGCTTGACACCGACATCGTCTTAGCTATCCACCCTAACGTCCTATGTGCCATCACTATACTAACCACCTCGTTGAAAACCAGTTGTGGACCCTCAGATATTCGACGTTTCGCCGAAACAACCGCTGCTTCGTGGCCTATGGTAAGTAATTTCTAGAAAAATCTCTGGGGGTCCAACTCTCCAAATCCATTCTCTCTTCGGTGAGGCCTGTGATTCTGCAGCCGTCAAAAAAAACCTAGCTCGATTCCATGACCGGAAGGCAAAGTTATCAATGTTTTAATTTGCACAGAATTCTCCATCTGCATTCCACAGTGTCGCGCCCGCCAGCCTAACTTAACGGCGCGGTTAGTCGATGCGCTTGACACCGACATCGTCTAAGCTATCCACCCTAACGTCCTATGTGCCATCACTATACTAACCACCTCGTTGAAATCCAGTTGTGGACCCTCAGATATTCGACGTTTCGCCGAAACAACCGCGGCTTCGTGGCCTATGGTAAGTAATTTCTAGAAAAATCTCTGGGGGCCCAACTCTCCAAATCCAGTCTCTCTTCGGTGAGGCCCGTGATTCTGCAGACGTCAAAAAAAACCTAGCTCGATTCCATGACCGAAAGGCAAAGTTATCAAGGTTTTAATTTGCACAGAATTCTCCATCTGCATTCCAAAGTGTCGCGCCCGCCAGCCTAACTTAACGGCGCGGTTAGTCGACGCGCTTGACACCGACATCGTCTAAGCTATCCACCCTAACGTCCTATGTGCCATCCCAATACTAACCACCTCGTTGAAAACCAGTTGCGGACCCTCAGATATTCGACGTTTCGCCGAAACAACCGCGGCTTCGTGGCCTATGGTAAGTAATTTCTAGAAAAATCTCTGGGGGTCCAACTCTCCAAATCCAGTCTCTCTTCGGTGAGGCCCGTGATTCTGCAGCCATCAAAAAAAACCTAGCTCGATTTCATGACCGGAAGGCAAAGTTATCAAGGTTTTAATTTGCACAGAATTCTCCATCTGTATTCCAGTGTCGTGCCCGCCAGCCTTCCTTAACGGCGCGGTTAGTCGACGCGCTTGATACCGACATCGTCTAAGCTATCCACCCTAACGTCCTATGTGCCATCACTATACTAACCACCTCGTTGAAAACCAGTTGTGGACCCTCAGATATTTGACGTTTTGCCGAAACAACCGCTGCTTCGTGGCCTATGGTAAGTAATTTCTAGAATAATCTCTAGGGGTCCAACTCTGCAAATCCAGTCTCTCTTCGGTGAGGCCCGTGATTCTAAAGCCGTCAAAAAAAACCTTGCTCGATTCCATGACCGGAAGGCAAAGTTATCAAGGTTTTAATTTGCACAGAATTCTCCATCTGCATTCCGCAGTGTCGCGCCCGCCAGCCTAACATAACGGCGCGGTTACTCGACGCGCTGGACACGACATCGTCTAAGCTATCCACCCTATTGTCCTATGTGCCATCCCTATACTAACCACCTCGTTAAAAAACCAGTTGTGGACCCTCAGATATTCGACGTTTCGCCGAAACAACCGCTGCATGGTGGCCTATGGTAAGTAATTTCTAGAATAATATCTGGGGGGGGGTCCAACTCTCCAAATCTAGTCTCTCTAGGGTGAGGCCTGTGGTTCTGAAACCGTAAAAAAAACCTAGCTCGATTCCATGACCGGAAGGCAAAGTTATCAAGGTTTTAATTTGCACAGAATTCTCCATCTGCATTCCAAAGTGTCGCGCCCGCCAGCCTAACTTAACGGCGCGGTTAGTCGACGCGCTTGACACCGACATCGTCTAAGCTATCCACCCTAACGTCCTATGTGCCATCCCAATACTAACCACCTCGTTGAAAACCAGTTGCGGACCCTCAGATATTCGACGTTTCGCCGAAACAACCGCGGCTTCGTGGCCTATGGTAAGTAATTTCTAGAAAAATCTCTGGGGGTCCAACTCTCCAAATCCAGTCTCTCTTCGGTGAGGCCCGTGATTCTGCAGCCATCAAAAAAAACCTAGCTCGATTTCATGACCGGAAGGCAAAGTTATCAAGGTTTTAATTTGCACAGAATTCTCCATCTGTATTCCAGTGTCGTGCCCGCCAGCCTTCCTTAACGGCGCGGTTAGTCGACGCGCTTGATACCGACATCGTCTAAGCTATCCACCCTAACGTCCTATGTGCCATCACTATACTAACCACCTCGTTGAAAACCAGTTGTGGACCCTCAGATATTTGACGTTTTGCCGAAACAACCGCTGCTTCGTGGCCTATGGTAAGTAATTTCTAGAATAATCTCTAGGGGTCCAACTCTGCAAATCCAGTCTCTCTTCGGTGAGGCCCGTGATTCTAAAGCCGTCAAAAAAAACCTTGCTCGATTCCATGACCGGAAGGCAAAGTTATCAAGGTTTTAATTTGCACAGAATTCTCCATCTGCATTCCGCAGTGTCGCGCCCGCCAGCCTAACATAACGGCGCGGTTACTCGACGCGCTGGACACGACATCGTCTAAGCTATCCACCCTATTGTCCTATGTGCCATCCCTATACTAACCACCTCGTTAAAAAACCAGTTGTGGACCCTCAGATATTCGACGTTTCGCCGAAACAACCGCTGCATGGTGGCCTATGGTAAGTAATTTCTAGAATAATATCTGGGGGGGGTCCAACTCTCCAAATCTAGTCTCTCTAGGGTGAGGCCTGTGGTTCTGAAACCGTAAAAAAAACCTAGCTCGATTCCATGACCGGAAGGCAAAGTTATCAAGGTTTTAATTTGCACAGAATTCTCCATCTGCATTCCACAGTGTCGCGCCCGCCAGCCTACCTCAACGGCTGTCCCACCGTAGCGCACCTGCCTCGCTCAGGGGTGAACCATCTATGCAGGGATACTGCCTCCGCTCGGCTATCTAATCCGCTAGGTCTATACCCATACGAGAAGTGCGGTTGTACGGGGGTCGTTTCATGCTTAACTTCATGGCTCGGTCCTTAATTGACCGGGGACGGTACTAGCCTTTTCCAGATACCACCCAAATCCTCCGTCCGCCCCAGTCGAAAACAGTTGTTTAGTTTTATTTCTCCTTTCGCAAATCATGTCATCAATATCGTGGCAATGTGGTGCTCATGTCTCTACATGCCGCATCTCAATTACCTTCCCAAAGGTAATTGCCCAAGCATATAGTATTTGATAAATATGAGTATGCATGATTCTAGAATAGCATTTCTAAGCATTTGTCATAGTTGACTAGGGACTCATACGTAAACATGGTTACGAAGGAATAAGGGGTAAACAATAATCAAGGCATGGCATAATCGCAAGTAGGATGTTCACCATTGCATGCAATTTTATTTGTAAACAAACAATTTCGCAATTGGGATCAACATGTTCAAGGAATAGTGATGACTTGCCTGCTCAGAATAGTCCTTATTCTTGATACAATCTTGATCAACCTTCACCTCCTGTAAGCTGCATACGTTGCCTCACGACTAACCGATATACAAATTCTATAATATGCGAGAAAAACC